CTTCAGACCATGTAGCCCAAACATTAGATGAAATAGAAGGAAATCTCCAATCATAAGAAAGCCAGTGCTCTGAGGGTTTATTTCCTCACCCCTTTCTCTAGCCCTTCAAAAAGGAGAGTCAAGATATTAGATGTAATATACACACATTTAATTTTTACATACATAAATAAATACAAAATTATGTACCTCTTGCTCTGTCACACATCCACATGAATCCTGGGGTGACATAGATTGCATCTGCCAACACGGATTATTTTTTCTAATGGGAATAAACATAACAATAGGAACAACCATTAAATGAAAGGAATACATTACTTAACAGAAGAAATCCACAGAGTGACAAGCAAATCTGGCACCTTGAACACTTTCTTTGCATTTTATCACAGTGGCAGCTGTGCCTAAACCTGTATCAATTTTACTCATTTGTATCAAAGTGGATTCACTAACAATATATAAGTAAAACAGCATATGAGCTGCATACCTTGTGCTTGCAGCAATAAGATAACTAGAGCACGGTCACAACTCTGCATTCCTAAATTTAGAAATCTGGAATGCTTCCTAACAAATATTGTAATTATTGTCTAACCTTCATCATATGGTCACCAGACTTGATCAAAATCGTCCTGAAATTAATCAGAAAACTGTCACTGACTTTCAAGGGATTTAGATCAGACCTTTAACAATGAAACCTACTTATGCACTTCACCTGGATGCCAGCTCCTTCATCAGAACAGATTTGTCATTAACCTCATGCTGCAACAAAAGCTTAAGATAGTCTACATTTCATGGGGATAAAAATATTGAATTTACAATTAAGGAAGTAGTTTCTTTATTCACAGTTACCCTTCTTTTGAATGCATGCATGTGTGGTCCCAATCAGAAAAATCTCTCAGTAGAATCTGGGAAAGGTTTCCTAGGTTATCATCTTCAGTGCTTTTCAAAGTGGGCCAGGAGGACATGAGGACAGAAAAACAAACACAAACACGTTAATATGTCTGGTTCTATTAACTTTCAGGCTCAAAATCCAACACGTTTACCAAGAAATTAAAGAACTATAAAATCCAAGCATAGGAAACATACCAAAACAGCAAAATTATCTCATTTTAAAAACTATATGTGAACATGTAAAGAACATTCAATACAATTATGGATAAACAAAACTCAACATCTCCCCGTGGCCATCTTTCACTTTATAAACATGCATTCCTAACAGTTAGCATAGTTTAAGTGTTTTTATGTTTCATTTATAAATTCAACCAGCATCATGTTACCTTTATAAAGATATCTAGATATTTGTCCAGTAGATAAAGCGATCTGTATGTGATATGCACTCCATACAGAATAGTTCAGAGCTGAGCTATAGATGCCGTACATTATAAGTAAATAAGTAAATCTAGTTGGCTTCAAAGCTGAGCATATAGAAACCAGAGGTTGAGTAAGAAGGGCACCAGGCTTTGTTAATACTGTGTGACACTTTCAAATCTGAGAATTATTTTGAGAAAATGGTTTCAGACCTAAGCAATTGGTTAAAACAAAGCATGCAAAGGCTTGTTTAAATACACTTTTATTAAGCATTTACATTGAAATGGCAATGAATGGTATTGAAACAGATTAGACAGTTCAAACTGCTCTAAAGTCTTTGCCCTTTCCTCCACGAAATCCTATGCACAATGCTTTTCTAATTTTATCTCTCCTTCATAATAATCTATACAAATCTAAACATCTGAAAAATAAACAGGTATTGTAAAAAGTAACCTATTATTATTCTTAGAATGCAAATAGTCTTTAAAATATGAGAACTCAAGGATAAAAGTCCCAGAACCCTGGATATTGATGATGATGTATGAGCCTTTTACGTACCTAAAGAAGGATTCTGCATTGTCATAAAGTCTTGGTGTCAGCTTCAGAGAAGGATAATCAATAGCCAGTGGCTTCACACTAAACAAGGCCATTGCCAGTGCAACAAAGAGGACAGGCAGCAGCACGTTCGACAGACTTCCTCTCCAGTCTCGCCTAGTGTGCTGAAACCTCTTCACGAGAAGGGCAAAAATCTGCGTGAGAATGAGACGGGGTCCACGAACACTTGAGGACCCTGTAAGTGAAACATCCGAGTTAGACAAAAAAAGCTCTCTTAGGGAACAAGGAAAATCAAATTAAGTTTTCATGTGCTTCATTTTCAAATATAGAACATAATAGTCGTTTTGATAGAAAAAACAAAACTACATAAACCTACAAAGGTGTCCTGGATGGAACAGTATAATGCCCCCAGTATAACTAATTAACTCTTCCTGTATGGGAAAACAGATATTCAGCTGACGCATTATCTCTTGCACACAGCTAAAGGAGTACTGCATACCGATTTTCCCATGGTCTTTGCACTGGTACAATCATTCCTTCTGCATTGCCACGTTTGCTCCTAGACAAATGACTATGACAAACATGGCCTGTATTAGCATTAAGGTCTTGATCTACCATGACTGAAATGAGTGGCAACTTCTCCACAGGGATTTCAATGGGATGTCTTCAGAGTATGTAACAGAGCTTCATAGATGCTAGAGCTGGATTCTCATAAAAGCATTCCTTCCATTTCTTTGCTCATATGGGACAGATCATATTTGCTAATGTGTTAGCCAATGCAGTTTTCATAATCCCATCTCATGGGCCCTCACTCACATTCCCATGGGTGGGTGTCCACAGCTTATTAACATCTCACCAATCAGACATTTTCCTGATAGACTCTCCCTTAATTTCATTTTATTGTTCTTTGTTAGAAACTTGTGAATCACACCAATCACTTTCCCTCTCTTTTAGACCCTAATGCCTTCTAGGCATGTGCAGGCTATTACCAGCTTCTCTTGTGGCTTTGCCAGACTGCACATACTTCAGCCTCTTTTCTTCCTTATAGCATAGCAGTGTCCGGTAGATTTACTACCACAGGTATTTGTACTATAGCAAGACTGAATAGCCTGTTTATTGTAGTGCTCAAAGACATACTATGTTTTACGATCCCTTGTGATTTGTCTCTTACTACCTTCCCTTCTATATATTGAGACCACTCTAAGCAGCCTTTTCTGAATAAAAATAATTGTCCATGTTGTTGAATATCCGGACTATTGCTCAATATTTCTAATACTAGCCAGCCAAGATACATCACAAGAATAGGCAATAAACCACTATATTAAAAATATATGTTTTCCTCAGTCATTTCTTCTTCTTTTCAAAATTATCTGTTTTTTCTAGAAAAAGAATACGGTTATTATTTAAAATTCTCATTGAGAAAGGTATGAAATGTCTTTCTAAATCATCTTAAATTTCAGCCTTTGCGACCTTGAATTCTGTCATTCCTTTGTGTTTCAGGTAAAACCAAAAATCTTGTTTACCTGTTTTGAATTTATTCTGTTTGATGGTACAGGATATACTCTTAAATCTTGCTTTAGGAGACAGATTATAGAAGTTTCCGACATAACTTTTGCATAAATAATCTCAAGTTTTCAGTCTCCTCTTATAAAAATCTTTATAGTCCTAATCACCCTCACCACTTGCCCCAGGTCCCCTTATGTTACTGCTGTATCAGTCTCAAGATACATTATATTAAACAGGACTGCCTATTGGATGTAGAAACACTACTGATTATACAATAGCATTATGCGTTCTTGTACTGATCTGCTTGTCTTCTTTATGCATCATACCATTTTGTCTCACCACAGCCACATAGTGAAAAGTAGCCTGCATTGGGCTTTCCATAAGTGACTCAATATGGCTTTCAAAATTCCCAAGGTAATAAATCACCAAAAAAAAAAAAAGGAAAAGCTAAATAATATTCCTATGTACACTTCCCATTTAACCCTTCATGTTTCTCAATCTTACATGCATAGTCTAATTTAATTTTCTTTTAACTAGAATCTACAAAATTAATTTTTGCTTCATAAAGCTTTTAAGTAATTCACCACCTATATTTGGTATGTATGTCAGGATGAATAAAAGCAGCACACATTTATGGGAAAACAGTTTCTGATTACCACTGATAATCATAAAGGCTAGAAGACAAGACCATCTGACCTCTCTGTTATGAAGTCAATTTTTATGCAGAAAGCTTATAGAAATATTCTCATTAATAATTTAGATCATAAAATTAAAAATCTGACCCAACTGTTAGAAGCTGTCTTGCTTGAATTACGATTACAATTATCTGGAAGAAGTGCAATTATGTTCACAATTAAGTTGTACTTTCCAATTCATCCAGACTCTCCTTTGTATTATGGAAAAGATTTTTGCCACCTTACAATTCATATAGTAAATACCAGCTACAGGGAAACACAGCATAAGTCCTAAAATTTGGTAACCAAGATTTTGAAAATCCTTACCGATAGACTGCTTTAGAATTAGGAGCAGAATTGGAAGAATCTCTAAATGGGTATTAGATGGTCTTTTTCTCCTCTTTTTTGCACTTCTAGAAAATAATGTAATTATAACTTTTTTCATGGCACAGTAAAATACGGGCTATGTAATGGCTATGTTAACAGCCAGGAGTAGACGTTTTAAATTCTGCTTCTGTCATTTTGGCATTTAGACAAGCAATTTAGAGGAGGTCCAGATTTTAGGAAGATAATCCTGGAACTGAATTACCCTCCCAAAACAGTTGAGCTAGTTCACATGAAACTGGTTACATTTGGAAGCAGTATATATTCATTAGCTTATGAGAATCTCTGTGCCAACAAGTAGTTCTAGGCTGAGCTAGTGATGTGACTTCATTCTGCATTTCAGCATGTGCCATACTGGCATAGAAACTGCTAGCCCACCAATCTGTGCACAGCATTCTACTAGAAGGTATAAAAATGTCCTTCTTACATATTTGTTCACTTATGATAAAAATAAATATAATATTGATTTTGTTTCTGGGAGGATTTTGAGGACTGATTTTCATGTAGGGCATTTGAATAAAAGGCACTTTGATGGAGGGAGGTATAAAGGGAATGCCTCTAGTCTGTGTTTCATACTATGATGGACTTGCTTATATATAATAGGGTCATGAGCTGTCTCCATACAGAGCAGGCCATAAAAATCTAAATTTTGAGGGGAATTTCACAAGAGAAATTATTTTCTGGCATTTTTAGATATAAATCCTCCCATTTTCCCCCAGAGTGTTTTTCATTTTAAACATCGTGAATGTTTCTTCTAAAAAGTTGATTCACATTGTTTCCATCTTAAAAATTTCCTGTCCAGAAAAGCAAAGCTTTGGCAAAACGTACAGTTCCTCCTCCCTTCCCCATACATACTGCCTAATCCAATTAAGTGACTTTTTTTTCAGGGAGAAGGGTTTTTTTTAATGAAAAATTCAGCTTTTCATTCTGGGCCCCAGATGCCAGGATGGGATTCTGCATTGGCCTGAAGATCTTTGAGACAGAATAATAGAGATCTAGGTAACTGTAGAGTTCATCAGTAAAATAAACATATTTTAAAGTCAAAGCATTGGTTTCTGTCACTCCACAACCTTGTGGAGAATTCCCTTCACAAACCAGATCTCCTAAGTCCTTTTCCTCAAGCCAGACAGTTGACTGATCAGAGGATTTCCTTCCTTTATCTAAGACATTCTTATCGTTCAAGATTCAATGTGTTCAGCATTTTAGCCCTGAAATGACAGCTTGAAGTATGTAACTGATTCCTATTGAAAAATCAAGAAAGAAACAACATAACCAGAAAAATTTACTGAATACTCTCACCAAAAAACCCAACACACAAACCCCAGAACCCAAGAAACTGTCCCTAGGAAATCTACCAGCAAACTTGTAAAGTAGGCCCTTTAAGCTCCTTATTTTTACATTTCCCAGAGAAATGGGTATGAACAAAAGTTAATTTTTAGGCAAAAAGCTTAGGAAAAGAATGGGGCAAACTTCATTCAAATTACCCACCCTCTATTAAGAAGAAATAAATTCTGAAGTCAGGCCTAAACACAGTAGCTATGATCTACCCACAGCAATGCGTTAGAGGTTGAAGAACTGGTAGGGCACCATTGTACCTAAATCTTTAGAGGCAGGAACACTTTACAGTACTCTCTCTCAACTGGTTGAAGAAGATATACACATCTGACTTTCACTGGCTAAATGGAAGACACAGCCACATAAAGTGCTTTTGTGTAGAATAAAAAGCGTAAAACATGCAGGAGCTAGAGGACAACAAGCTTTCATCCATAAAATAATTTTCTTTACTGTTTCTGCCTACATTGTTATCCAACCAGTGAGAGAGGTGCATCCAAGCAAGAACATTTGATCCTGGACATCACTGTTTGCATCCAGGGTTTTCATTTAGTTTTCTTGCAGGTGGTAAACACATTGTACAGACTCAAATAAGGCACGTAGCTAAATGGCAATGGAAAGTACATTGCTAGTATCCACCAGAGAAAAGGTACAGACAAGACAGAGGTATAGCAGGTTTTTGTCCCCTTCCTTCCCATTCTTTTATTTTAGTTTTTCACAAAACACTATGACATAATCTGAAAAATCTATAGTGCAACACAGAGCATATCAATTCGTTAACAAATAAATGAGATGCAATCTTTTTTGTTGTTGTTGGGAGAGGAGGAACACTTAAAACGAGGAATTTTCCAGTCATGGTTTTACACAAAATATGACCGATAGAGACATTTTAAGCACCAATCTAAAATACTCCACTACTCTCGCACACTGATACACCTTAACCCTGCCTTGCATGGGAGAGCTTTGGGATGGCTAATGAGTAAACTGAGAAATAATTAAAACCAGGACTAATTTTTGGGTACTGAATAACCCAACTGAATAGAATACATAGACTACATAGTTACCAAAATAACAAACAATCGAATACATTCTCTAGATTCTCAACAGCTCATTAAATGGATATATTGCCTTTGCTGACATAGGCTAAGCAGTTAGAGGTGAGAACATGGAACCACAGCTTCAATCCTGCAGACATCTCTGCAGTAAATGACTACCCCAAAAAGATTGATTCCTGCCCCCTAACCTGTTCAACTTTTGTACAGATTACTAAGTGAACTTGAACAGAGTCCATCTGACTCTACCTCTTCCTACAGCAGTCCAGCATCAGAGTATGCTGCTA